CTAATTTTTAATGCATCTTGATTGCATGTTTGGTCAATTTTAGACTGCAAAAGTTGGTAGAAATCCTTACTCTCCTCTTTGACTTTAGCAAATGGAACATATATTTGGATTCATTTTTATCTCACTCAGCAGCACGGCCTTACCTCTCTCTTCAGCACCTGCCTCGGCTCTGAGGCTCTGTCCTGGAAAATCTTCTGCAGCATGTGCTCCTGCTCCAGGTACAGTGCCTCCTTCAGGAGCAGCACGTTGGTACGTTTCTGCACCTCGGCCATTGAGAGTTCAGCCACCTGCTGCTCATGCTGCCAGACCTCCCTGTCCATGCCCTGGGCCAGTGGGAGAGGCTGCGGTGGCGTGCATATCTCCAAAGGGGTGACAGTCAGGGTGACTTCCTGGTCCTGGCACAGGACATACTGGTAGAGTTTGTAGTGGCTGATGAAGGTGTTGTTGAAGTAGTCACAGAGGGCCAGCAGGTGGGTGGTGTTGAACTGTCCCTGGTAGTCTCTGAGCTTCTTGCCCAGGATTGTAATAGCTTCAGTAATGGGGCAACCTGGGGAAACAGAGGGGCCAGAAAGAGTGTGAACAGAAATACTCCTCTTTGTATTTTTTAGCTTAGACATTGATCCAAGTCAGATTTCCTATCTGATGGCATAGTGTATAACTTATTGCCTGCTAACCAAAAGGTCAGTGATTCAAATTTGCCAGACTTTCTGTGGGGGAAATATAGGGAGTGATCTCTCATAAAGATTCACAGCCTTGGAGACCCAAGGAGGGTCACTATGAGTCAGAATTAACTCCAAGGGAGTGAATGAGTGAGCAAGAAACTAAAAACCAAAACATACAAATAAGTAAAAACTCAAAATAAAAACAGTTATCATCAAGTAAATTTGACAAATAGTGACCCTAACGTGTGTCAGAATAGTACTTCAATGGCTCCTTCTTTTGCTCATTGAAACACTACTGCCTTCTCAGACCCAGACTTCCATGTCTGTCCTGTGGTATCTCTGTTGTTGATTGCCATAAAGTTGAGCACGACTCATAGCAACCCTATGAACAAAAGACCTGAAGTCTTTCTATAACTATCCTTTCTCAAAGTTCATAGAGTTTCCAGAGGTTATGTTGTTTAGGAAGTGGATGCCACTCCTGCTTCCAAATCCATTTTAAAATGGGGGCTCCACCACTGTCCACTATGGGTAACCTTATGCCATTTGAAACCCCAATGGAACAAGGTTCAGCATCACATCAACTCCAGGTTTCCTCAATACAGCACATTGACAGAAGAGTGCTGTACCACTTAGAATAATGCTCCTCCGGAATTACAAAGGCCCTCCCTGAGGTCTTGTTGACTCTAAACAAGAGGTTTATGTAAAAATATCCAACCTATATAATATGTTGTTGTAGTTGTTTTGTGCTGTTGAGTTGCCTGCGACCTACAGCGACTCTATGTACAGCAGCTCTGAACCCTTCCCTGTCCTAAGCCAGTCTCACTAATTCTGGCACACCAACCCCCATTG